CCAAATCTGGGCATCTGTAGGTAGGTTATCTAGGTAGTAATATTAATAAAAAGATTGATAATTAGATAAAAAGATTTTAAATTTTTTTAATTACTTTTCTATTTTTGTTTCTTTACTAGTTTTTTTTTTATATTTAATAGTTTTATTGTGTTTTTCACATTTTAGCAGTTTTGCCAGTTTTGCCAGTTTTGCCAATTTGCCATTTTAATTTTTTTTTGGCAAAACCTCTAGGTTTTGCCTAACAACACTAATTCACCCTACCTTAAATTACTTAAATTAACTGAGTTAAACATAAAATCATAAATAAAATCATAAATAAAATCATAAATAAAATCATAAATAAAATCATAAATAAAATCATAAATAAAATCATGAGCTTTAATTACAATTATAAAATTTATATTTTTCATTAAGGAAATTAGTTAATAAAAATTGTCAAAGTTAATAAAAGAATGTAGACCTGCTCGTAATGACATCTGATGCATTTATCTTGAACGTTAAATATAGTTCTTAATAAAATTTGGCTTCGTTTCTTACTATCAGACCATCAATTTATAAAGTCATATTGGTATATTATTAGATATGGAAGAAGATATAACTAGAGATGGGCAAATCACAGTTTCTCCAAAAATCTTGTGCGACCAACCTAAAAAATTTCGCTGTTAGATTAAGGTTAGGTTTTGCTATGAAGTTAGGTTATAAAAAACTTTAGCAATACGAAAATTTCGCAGGAAAACTTTTTGATAGTGCGCAGAAGGTTGAGTTATTTTGATTTTTGTGTTCCTTTTGCGTCACACCTGATCTTGAAATCTGATTGGCCAGTGAAATTTTTTAGGTTGGTAACGTTAGGACAGTTCACGGTATTCATTAAACCTAGTTGCTACGGTTAATCCACGATTTTGATTGGTGTTACGGTCTGGGGAGAAACTTCCATTTTAGTTACTGATTTTAGCTTAGACCGTAAGCATGAAGTTTAGGACTATTGATTTATATTTTGGGTTGGCTATGTTGCAGTTTACTTATTTGCGCTGGTGATACAAGACTAAAAATAGAATAGATCATCATGGTTTGTGTAAGCAGGAAGCTGATTAGTTGATCATTCATTTGTGCATTACGATAATCATTATTCGAAATCAAACGCGCGATAAGACAGTTCACCAGTCTCATTTGAACAAAAGAAGCCTGTAAATCTTTTTATTGTCAAATAAATATTTACATTGTTTAAATAAAGTTATTAAGTTTTTTGTGGTATACGTTTTTTTATACTTTTTTATTAACACAATATTATTTATTGTGAATGAATAAAAGATACAAAACTTATATTATCTTTGCTGCTTTACAACACTTTCATTTGTTTGAAATTTCATATTTTGATTGTCACTTATCCAATTACCTGCCTCAAAAGCTCTTTCTGACCTACGAACATCCTCAATGACTCAGGACAGTTGGTTATGAACAACTTGCAATGAGCTGACATCAAGATCTTGAAGGTTTTTCGTCAATTCTTGTATACTATAAATAAGCATTTCAGCTGTGGGTTGCTGCTGTGGCTGTTGCATTTGTTGAGGTTGTTGGTGAGGAAGTTCAATATTTTTTGAATGCGAAGAAAAGTAGAGAATAATAATGGCATAGATATGTTTGCATGGAAGTTGATGCATATAGAAATCTGTACAGGAGCAAGAAAATTGTCTTTCTAATTGCTTATATTCAATTTTTTTTTCCACACAGTATCTAACACCTGGTGTTGTTTCCGAAGCTACGGTCCAATAATGCCCACCAGTTGTGTTTTCTAGTACTGTATTTACTAACTTTTGTGCTTTAATTTGTCTCCTGCAAATTTCTCTTTCTACTGGCATTATACATCCCGCTCAAACATCTGCAAGATGCCGCTACTGCTGTGCATCACCTTCTATTACAACATATAACTCGTAAATTAAGATATTGATACGCCTATTTACCTTTCTCTCAAAATTATCATACTTAAGACGCTTATGCCAAGACTCAAGCATATTTGTCGTGTTCATCATTTGTGGAATTCTAGTGCGATAGGCATTAATCTACATAACTTTATCAATGCCATGATGATTACCGCCTTCATCTGGTTCATTCAACCATTGCTGTTTAAAGTAAATAATAAAAGTTACAGAATTCTTCCATTTTTCTAAAAATGTTACCAATACTTCTTCAACAATACTTATATCATCAATCTTCATCAAGTATTTTAGATCTTCAAAAAGCTCATTCTCCAACGTTTTTTCTCATCAATTGTAAGTTTACGTCCTAATAGTTGGGTTTGGTCTTTACTCACCTTTCTTAGATTTTTCCGCCAAGCTCTTGAAACATACCACCAACACAGCAAGATTCTTCTTTCTGGGAACACTGCATGAAGTGCTTTAATTTGTGCAGGATCACAATCCACAAAAAATGCGGTAGAGCCTTTCTATTCAGGAAACTGAATACGAAGATACTGAAGCCAGTATTGTACAGATTCAGAGTTTTTACAAGATGAAATTAGGTGGACAAGGGTAACTCCTTTTCCAGTTTTGGGGTCAGGGGAGAGAAGGATATATAATAAATCTTTATGTTTATTTGTTCCATGAGTCGCATCAAGGAGGATAATAGAAACTTCATTAATAATTTCTCTACAAAGTGGGACCATGAATCTGATGAGTTTGCCTTTATCAAATTCACCATTGCCTAAAAATTAAAAAAAAATATATATATATATAAATAATAATAATAATAATAATAATTAAAAAATTAGAATAAGATATTTAAAAAAGGGTTAGAAAAATCGAAATTTGCCTTCTGCTTTTGGAATTGCGCAGGTAAGGTCCTTTTTTTGATCGAGTTCTATTCTCCATAATTCAATACTTTGTTCTTCTGATTTATGCTTTATTCAACTTTTTGCGATCACCTCATTCCAAACATTATATATATCGTTGCAAGTTACAAGATTATCCCGAATATTGATAGCATTTTTTTTGGTTCGACTTTTCCAGATATTTGACATATCTCGGGCCCATTTTTGGAATAACCTATTGATTCCCTTAATGTTTAACCCATCTCTGATATGCTCAGCAATCCAATCGCAAACCTTCTTAGAAAGCCTTAAAGTGCTTATATCTTTGTCGGAGCCAGAAATGTGATTAGTATGGGGAGTATACTTTATAATCATTTGTATGCTATTGGGTATATTTGTGTTAGTAACAATTATACTTGATTTGCAGTCACATTTTTTTGTCTCTTTTTGATTGGGGTGTAGTTCTTTATTTGATTGGTCTTTACCAGCTGTACTTTGATAGGTTCCAGTATGGTGACATTTATATGTGACTCGTAAAATTACATTTCCTTGATTTCGCTCAATAATATGCCTTACATAGGTTGCCCCTGTTGATTTTCCAAATTTCTGTATCCATTTATGAAAATCGGTGTTTATCAAAACACTGTATTCGATTCCTTCAACGGGTTTACCACGGAGAGGGTTTTTGTCACGTTTAATCAAAACTGCACTAGCTGGTAATTTGTCAGTATCAATATTATTGTTATCTTGAAGTTGTTCTACAAACTGATCAAAGTGATTGAACAATTCTTCTAAACATGCTTCTTGATCATCAGCGTAGTCGACAGCATCAAATTCTGGAGTATATTCCATTTTTAATAATGCTGCACAGTGTAAATACAAGCAGGCATGAAAGAATTATCCTTTTTTATCTGGTTTTTTTTTACTTTTTTTTTTGTTATTGAATCAAAAACATCATTGAGACCGATCAATTTACACATTAATTTTGAGACTTTTTACATTGATAGATTTCTATTTTCTAGATTTATACGGTGCAACTAACTAATAGATTATATTTTGAAACATATTATTGTGAGCTGATCTATTTAGATTACTGGATTTTTATCATTTATACTTATATAGAGATACGCCAATGCAGTTTCACACCACTTAAGAACGTTCATTAAGCCTAAATGGAAAAGAAATGAAATATTTCATAAGTACTGATTTTGTCAGATGATATGAGGAACTGTGACTGTAAGTTTATGCTAAATTACAAGTTATTGCTAATAATTTTAAAGAATATTATGTATCAAATGTTTTAGCAGACTTGTCACTATCTATACGTTCAGAATTTTGTTCAATGCAGTTTTTACTAGCAATATTACTCTTATTACTCTTACTAACTTTTTACTAATTATTAACTTATATTGTTTGTTTTTGTTTTTTATTGCATTTGTTAAGAATTTCTATGGGCAAGTTTATTTTATTTTGCCACTTTTATTTTACTAATTCATTTTTGTTTTCGATTTTGCATACAACACCACTTATGATAAGTGCACAACAACTGAAACCTTATCTCTGCCACAATTTTTTACTAAATTTAGTTAGACGCTTTTACTCTTTATAATGTGCATATTTCACTTTTACATTACATAGCTGTGATTTGCGTATTGCCACTATCATAGATTATATTTAAATTGTATGTAGTACATTGGTACTAAATTTTATATAACAACACAATAAAAATCCTAATTTTGGTCAGAGCATCTCTAGACCTTTTTTGTGTACTACGTAATAATTGGTTTGCTTATTATATTAAATTACTTTAAATATAAGCTTATATGTTTTGAAACTTGTATATTTTTTATAATAATTTAACAATTCTATTTAATAAAGATTAAGAATTCATTATCAAATTGTGACCGATTTTTTTTAATAGTAACAATTTATTAAATGATATATAACAATTGTACTTGAGATTATTATAAAATATGTATGAAAAAATCTGTTTTTTTTTTATTTAAACGATTTTGGAAATGTTATTACCATAAGAAACAGGGTTTGAAAGATAATCAAGAGTAAGAAGCCTTTGATAATCGTTGGTGAAAATGATTAAAATGGCAAAAATAATCGATTGTTAGAAAGTGTAAATATTTAATTTAATTTAAATCGAAATATATTTTTTGAAACAAGTTATTCATTATCTTAATTTAGCCAATCAGAATTCTTGTAAATCAGCCAATAAAAATGAATTTTTGTTATACTAATGATCAATTACTTTTTTAGGTTTGTATTACCAGCGCAAATAAGCATACGTGGCTATGTTGATTGTTAGGTTATACAATTATTAATTATGCAAGTATTGGTATTAATTTGGATTTATACTATTATGTAGTGTGATAATTAAGGATTGCTTATTATGGTTGCAAATAATCTTTATTTACTTTTATTTACATAGAGAATGTTATGTACAATGTTATTATCATTCTTTTCCTTCGTCCAAAGTTACTTCCTCATATATCTTTTTACTTTATCCTTTCTTACACTTTCTATAATAAAGAAAATGAAGTAATTTTATTTGAAATTATAAACTATAAAGTAATAGCTATGAGTTACTAAGAAATATGAAGTAACAGGAAGAAAAATGAACAAAATAATATGTAAGGTTTTAATGAATTATGTAAAATGAAATAATAGTATGTAAAAATGCAATAATTCAAAGCTGAGCAGTTTAATCAATGAATATAGTCATAAAAATGTAATTATCTTACTGCAGGAAATGAGATAATACATTTGTTGATCGTAGGTACAGAAATTTTTATATAACATTGGCCAGCGGCTGTGATTGACAAAATTCTGGCCTGCATTATGTATAATTTTGGCTAGAATTTAATTTTTTGCAAAATAAAAAGATTTTAATGCTTGGGCCTGTGCAATAGTAAAATTAGAATTATATTTTACTTAATATATGGCCACAATTTCATTAGTACAATTATAGTAATTTTGCCTAAATTTTAATTTTTTTTTTTTTTTTTTTTTTTTAAAGTGAGGTTTTGCCTTTATCTTTATTAATAATTTGTGTTGAGAATCCACTAGAGGTTTCTCTGGTCTATAAGACCAAT